TAACCGCCCCCCTACATGAAACCTGCCCGAGTCAACGCTTGGTTGCTGCCGCCTCTACTGGGAAAGAAGCGACAGCCAAAGCGCTTCCTTCGCCCATATACAGAGTATAACCCTTGTGGATACCTGCAACAACTTCGCACTGGCGAGAGCCGGCTTCGTTTTGTACTGCGCATCGGAAGTACAAGCGTATACAAAAAAAACAGGTTCGTGTTCGTAGCCCTGCACCACCGGCGAGGCATTTTTTATAAGCCAGAAACACGCCTGGAGAAGTGCTTCGGTCTTGTAGGAAGTTGAATAAGCCTGTCAGAACTCGGCAAGCACGCGACATCGGGGGCTACTGGAGCGTTTGTAACCCCCATACTATGGCATGAATACCGTTAGAAAGAGCCTGGTATCCCCTGCCCAGCGCTTTGTTACGCTTCTGGCTCAAGAGGAGATAGAAAGGAACACTGTAAAACATCTGTAGTGATTTCAAAATAGTCATTGACATGGATAGCTACAGAAACCATGACGTGAGCCATGTCGCCCATGATACAAAGTGTAAGTGAAACATGGGTATAACAGAACAACTTGCAATATACATTCTGTGACTATTAGTTCAGAAGATGCTGAACATGAAGTTCAGCAGCAAACCTACACTCCTTGAACTCAGCGTGGATGTTTGTCGACGAAGGAATGAAGTACCACATACTGTGCAATATCGATGTGTGTCGACGAAGGAATAAAGTACCACTGTCCGGTACTAGACAGAGACATAGAGCACACACAAACATACTACACAAAGCTGGAGCTGAAGAGTAAAAGTAGTTTGAAAGTCAGCTGCAAAAAGGAATCTAATACAGGTTGTGGAAGATAGAGATGAGTCAGTTAACTGTACACACACTACTGAAGATGCTCATGGACATTGTTCTTCTTGGAGAGACAGCTTGATTGTTCCTAGAGCACCACGGGACGGTGGGAGGCAAGGTGGAAGGACAGGGGGATAAAGCGGTAGCATCCCACTGTTTCTTGTATAGGCCGTCATTATACACATACACATCAATATATGGCCGATTATGACCAAGAATACCGCCTTCGCAAGGATGCTGCGCGCATACAGATACAAACCGGTCGTCTAACGCTTTCCCTTCTACCTTTCAATCAGACTTTCTCTCAAAATTGCTGGCGATCCGGTAGAAGACAACATTTTTCAGGCTTGATAGCTGATCATCTGCTGCCTGCGCGCCGCTGTCGTAGAGAAGCGACCATGGGGCCACGAAAAACGTATCTACTCGTAGAGTCTTCTCAAGGGTCAAACGTGGTTTTGCGTAAAAACTCCGCCCACTAATCCTCGGTGCGCAAAGCGCAGTGAAAAAGCCATAGGGCCGTTGCCAACGCCCCGTTGCTACGGAAATTTTATGATTACGTAATCATTCCGTGACGTCACTAAGTTGGTACGCGTTCTACGAAATGAAACAGCCGTGCCTTGTGGCCTGCGCCGGCGCGGCCAGTGCAAAAAACGATTATTTCGCGCGTGTGCGAAAAGTGTAGGCTGGCGGTTAGCGAGCGACTAGACTGCTGTCGACGCGCAGTGACCGACGAGGATGGAACTTGCCGATACAAAACCCCCGTTTATTCAGCTCGTTGCGTCTGCATCACCTGCCTTCATAGGACAGTCTGTATGCCTGCATGTCGGGGACAGAATCACCCTCAGCGAGACTGCCACGAAGTTGGTGTCCGTTGTCGCTGCCGACGAGTGGACTCCGTCACGGTTTTCGTCCTGTTTGGGGTGCCTAGAGCACGAATAACCAAGTATGTCGGAAACAAGAAGAAGAAGACACGGTGAAGCAGATGGAAGGCGTACTTCATGGCGTGGGCCGAATCGATGGGTAAAACAGCCACAGTGGAGATGGCACTTGAAATCGATCTACGAAGCCGACGAATTAGACATACTCGACAGCATCCTCAACGAGTTAACCGTGTCAGGTTAGAAAGAGGGGTGTGAGCCTCTCCATGTAGACTGTGTTTTCCAACTAGCCAAGTACTCGGTGTATGTATAGGCATATAATTTATGTACTCACTGCTTTCCCTACTGGTACTTTCCCCTTCAGTGAAAACTGAGCTGCCCCAGGGTTGAAGGCATAAACATAAGGTCTCAAGAGTGCTGTTACGTGCAATATCTCTTTACCACTAGCAGTCCAACAGGTTACAGTGGAAGCATCCGAGATATGGGGAAGTGCTTTTGTCCCTTGTAATACAGAGGTCGTCCCTATAAAACCCATCTTAGGGTGATATGTCGAGGGGGCACGTGACCTACTCCTCCACTATCGACTCAGTCGATAGTGTGATGCCGGGCTGGCTGGATTCGGTCCGTACCTATCTCCTACAGGGGGGCCCTCATCATGACCCCCCAAAACAGGCGGATAGTAGCATAGACCTTTGAGGGGGCATGTGACCTACTGGAGAGTAGGACATACACAGCTCAAGTACACAATGACCCATTTGCCATAAGGTGGTAGTAAGTTAGAGCATTGTTATGCTTTCCACTGCATAGAGGACACAGAGAAGAGAAATGTTCCAGGCTATCCCAGGAAGTTGTCCTCACCGCAAACAAAAGCACAGGTAAGATTTTGTGATTCGAGATTAACTTTATCATGCTCCAATGTCCTTTTCAGCAGCCTCATTTTACTGATAAAGTGAAGGAAAACCATCTGTTCCAGTCCCACCGAACTTGGTATGGGTTGTAGTCAGAACACTTAGCTGCTGCACATGTTGAAACTCTACTACTATAATTGTTATAGCTGAGCTTCCAGGGCTACTCAACTGGTAGCATGTTATGAGTAGCTGTGTGTCGATGTGTCCATTAGTTTGCAGTTGTGTATAGGCATTTTAAAAGGCATTTTTTACTAAAAGCTATAATTATCCATCATTGGAGGCACACTTTACATATACCTACATGGTAGATGCAAACCCAATGTGCATACCAAGCCAGTATATGAATATTAGCTATAGAGTGTGTGTACCATTCAGGATCCTCCCCCGTATGAAGGCCAGTGTGAGCTTGCCTCTGAGCCTACTCCTTCGTCCCCAGTTGGGGCTGAGAAAAGAAGTTCCTTCCCAGCAGCCATAGCTGAGAGCAGTGATGAGGCTCTGACACCTATAGCAGAATCTCAACCATCTTCTTCTAATGCAACACCACACACAGTGACAGGCACATTAACCACCACACAGAACTCGACAGTGAGTTTTGCACCAACAACTTCAACAGTGTGTACTTTAAGGTTTTTTTGTTTCGGGGACAGGAGCGTAGAGATCATCAAATAGAGAGGATGTTGTCAGAGCTGGAAAGTCTATCTCAGGTATAGCTGATATTCATGTTTAGCTAAGCCGCTGTGGTAGTTTGACTTAACACGTTGCATATGGTGGGCCACTATACTAGCCGTAATGAAGTGAAAAATGTTGAAAAAAAGAGAAAAAAGTGGTACAGGTAGGATTCCATCCTGCTGTGTATGTTCGCTTGTGCAAACACAATGAGTGTTGCACGCATGCTCACCCCTTCTATGCAGTAATGGTAGGTCAAAGAATAGAATGCGAACTGCTTTACTACGTGCGACTTGTTAGAGTGCTCATAGGTTTGATTTCTACCCAAGACCAGGGTGTTGTTGATTTGCACTTTCCTTGCATAGGCACCCTCATGATGATTTCTTTTGTTCTGTCCTGGGAGAGCAATATATATGCGTACAGTGGAACCTCCCATAAAACAGAGCCCCCTTTTTCTGTTGAAACAAAGCTGTGAACAGTCAAAGCATGGCAATCTTTTCCTCACAACACAAGGGTTCATAATGTTAAAGTTATACCCCATAACTAAAACAAACTACTTCAGATTATCTGAAATTGTTGTAAGGGCTTTCACAGTAAAATTCTCATTTCAACAGAAAATGAAAGCGATGGAAGAAGAATTAGAGGAAGTGGAAGCTGATCATCAGAAAGAGGTGAGATTTGATCTTCATCAGTACAACGTTTATTATCGAATTATTTTGCAGTGCTTGTTATTTGCAAAAAGAAGTGAAGATTGGAGCTCAAGGATAAACACAGTGAGATTTTGCAAGTAGCACTATACATGTGGCAATATTCTAATAACTCTTATAGCTCCAAAAGGACAATCAGCGTCTTTGTACAGAAGTTAGAGACCTTCAGAATGAGGTATATACATATGCTTTGAAATAGTAACTACTGGCAACAGTAGTGAACCAACCAATAATCGTGCCCAGAAAGATGTTTTCCTAACAGTGGCTCTGTCACGTTTAATGTAATAATCCTGAACACATGGATTTAGCCTCTCTTGTGCAAATGCTTTTATTAGCTCACAAACGTAGGGTAAATCCACTATGGAAGACAGTTTTGGCGAGTAACAAGTTCAGCAGTTCAATATTCGTGCGTACATTTCTGTACTTTATGGTGGTGTCTGCCATTATTCTATCACCCCACTGGCAAAGTATGCATAATTATTATTTCTTTCTCATAACAGTTAAATAGAACGAAGCAAGAGCTCCACAAGGTATATATGTGTATCTATCTGTACTCCACCACTCCCATGACACTAGTTTGTGTAGGCTCTTGCTGAAGTGGGCGAACTCAAAATTAAAGCCGCAAGATTGGAGAAAGAGAATGCGGAACTAAGAGATTCAACTAGCCTCCACGAGGAACAAGAAGGGATGGAGAAAGAAAGATTGGAAAGAGAGAATGCCGAGTTGCAACAAGAGGTTTGCAAGCTGAAAACTCTCCAGGAAAAGTATGAGAAAGAAATCACTGAGATGAAAGAAAAAATGAAAGTCACTACAAGGGAACTGGAGCAGTGTATGGAGATGGTAAGACCATCTGTGTGTGAGAGTTGCAAGTAATAACTTGTCTCTTTGTTCATTCAGGGAATGCCTAATAAAACTCCAGAGCAATCTGAAGGTTCGGTTTAATAGTGGTATGTATCAAACAGTTTTAACACTTTTTCAACACAGGTATTGAGGTCAGAAGGTGGACATGGAATCAGTCAGAGCGCTTTGGAGAATTTGGCCAAGTATGTATGTATAACAATGGTGTTAAGTACATGCAGTACATGCTGATCAGTGCTTTCACACACTGTGGCAATGTTGTTTCAGGTATTTGGTGCCCAGAGGATAGGTGACCCGGCTACTTATGTGGTGAAATTAGTAATTTTGGCAGAGTGTGATCTCCAAGGTCAAATACATGAGGTAATGAACCAGGTTATACTGTTCATAGAAACATATCTGTGCTAAAGTATTGTGCTCACCTGAGCCCCTGGGAAGTGGTTGTGTAATCTGTTTATACAGGCACCACATACTTTACTCTAGGCTCTTGCTAAAGAGGACGAACTCAAGATTAAAGCTGCAAGATTGGAGAAAGAGAAAGCGGAAAAGATTTGAGAAAGAGAAAGTGGAACTAAGAGAGTCCACAAGGAACAATAAAGAAAAGAGAAAGAAAAGATAAAGATAAGGAAAAGAAGAAAGAAAGATCGGAAAGAGCGAATACGCGTAATGTGTTTTTTTAAACAAATATCCTTGCCAAAGGATACACAATAGCAGCTAGTAAGTAAGTGCACCCTACAACAAAAATAAATTTCTAAGTATGTGCTTAAATTCATTAAGAGTAGAGTACTGAGACAGGTTATTCCATGCACAGAGTGGTTTTACAAGAAATGAAGATTTGAAAGAGAGTGTTCTAGCAAATGGTACAATGAACTGGTTAATGTTTTTTTGAAGAATGTCTAGTGTTTTGGTAGGCAGAAACTGGCATCAGAATTGTGGGAGGAGAATAAAAGTAATCGAACTATTTTGTATAGAGCAAACATTCTCTTTGAGATGAGAGTGTTGGAAGAATTTAGATGCCACTGTTTTGAGCAGATTCTCAACAAACTTTTGAACTGACTCAAGATCTTTTATCACTAAGTAAGGTAGTACTTAGTATATAGGGATGACACAGGTCATCCTGCATTATGCCCATACATTTGAGATTTTCATGTTTCACTTTTAGTTTCAATCAGGTCCAACGTTTGACACATCAGACTGATCCGTATCGTCACAAAGAGCATGTATCCCAGAAATAGCTTAAATCGCATAATTGGTACTTGATTCAGTTTTCAAAATTCTTCTTGTTGTTGTTGTTCGGTTTAGACAATCGTATCTCAAAAACCGGGTAAGATATGGAGATGAAACTTTGCACAGATATTGGAATCCATGACAGGTCGTGCAAGAGCATTTTATTTCTTCGTAAACAATTTTGTTTAAATGTAAACAACAACAAATAGCCCCAGGCAATACATTATGATAAAGACAAATAAAGTGTGCTAACTAGGTAAAGCTAATACCCAGAGTGATAAACACTTTGTACACACACATGCAACCCATCATTACTATCAAAATGTAAACATTACAGGTTTGTAAACAACAACAAACAGCCTCAGGCAATAAAAACTTGTAAAATGTGTTTGTGCCTTGTCATAGATATGCATTGACTGGTCATTAATTAAATACTCTCGTGACGTCACTTATACTTCATTTCCGTTTCCAATTTTTAGCTATAATTATAAGTAGCGTACTTTCTTACTGTGTGCAGACTATTAGATTGTGTTGCTTATCAATATTATGTCAATGCGTGCGTGTTGAACCTACGAGGACACGACATATTTTGGCGACGAGGACGGGATATGGTGGCTGCCGGCACTCTCGGTCGAGTGGACGAGTTCGACGGAACGAATGACGACTGACTGCAATACGTCGAGCGCCTAGAGCACTTCTTCGCGGCCAATGGCATCGACGACGCCGACAAGAAACGTGCTGTCCTGCTCACGGTCGTGGGAGCAGCGACCTACAAGACTCTGCGCAACATTGTCTCTCCGAAGAAGCCGGGAGAGAAGACGTACGCGGAGCTCGTTGCGGCCTTGTCGAAGCACCTCAAGCCTATATACTCCCTCGGAAATTGTAGAACGATTCAAGTTTCATTCTCGTGTGCGGAAGGCAGGCGAATCGATCGCTACCTACGTCGCCGAACTTCGTTCGTTGTCGGAATACTGCAACTTCGGCGGACATTGGACGACATGCTTCGAGATCGCTTGGTCTGCGGTGTGAACGATCGAGCAATTCAGAAGCAACTCCTCGCTCAGCCAGGCCTGACGTATCAGAAGGCCGTGGAGCTTGCGCTTTCTGCAGAAACGGCTGCACAGAGTATGCGGGAACTCGGAGTCAAGGCAGAGAGCGATCCCTCTGCACGTCTCCCGCAGGAGGTGCATAAGACGAGCACCTCAGGCGCCTCTCCAGAGCTGGGCACTCCTCAGATACTCCCCTCACTTGCTACCGCTGTGGTCGCAAGGGGCACACTTCCTCCAGCTGCAAGGTGGACAGAAACATTGAGTGTCACAACTCTCACAAGCGAGGCCACATGCAGCGAGCCTGTAAGTCTGAGGGCCGGTCTTCCTCATCCAACACCAAACGCAAGTCTAAACCTATCCGTTAAGTTCAGGATCAGGAGGAGAGAGAGGACGAAGAGAGTGAGGAAGAGGATTCAGACGATTCTGCTATCCTGCAAATTCTCAACCAAGCCAAGTCTAGTAAAGTGGACGCTCCTCCGATCATGGTCAAGATCAAGTTAGATGACTGTGTGGTGGATATGGAGGTGGACACGGGTTGCGTCAGTCTCCTTGATGTCAGAAAACACCTTCAAGACTCTGTGGCTGGAAGGAGCCTGCAACCTTCACTGTGAGGCTTCGGACCTACCTCAAAGAGACCATCCCGGTGGTGGGTTGTACCAAGTAAACGTAGATTACAATGGCCAGTTGTGTGTGAAATTACACTAGTGTTGGGGGTGCTCTGGACCTTCCCTTCTGGGTAGGGATTGGCTGAGTCATGTCAATTAGACTGGCGGACAGATAAACCGGAGTGTACAATGGCCTCACTACACTGTCAGTCTTGTCTAGGTATCCGGGTGTGTTCGAAAGGTTCAGGCTAAGATATATGTTGAGCCTAGGACACAATACCTAGATTCAACCCCTGCACGCTCTGCTTCTATGCATTGAGCGGAGTGGAGAAGAGCTACAACGCCCTCCAGGAAGAGGGTACCATAGAACCGGTGGGACACACTACCTAGGTTCAACCCTGCACGCTCTGTTCCTTGTGCATTGAGGGAAAAAGTTGAGAAAGAGCTACAACGCCTCCAGGAAGAGGGTACCATAGAACCGGTGGAGTTTGCCGAGTGGGCTGCTCCCATTGTTGCTGTCTTGAAACGGGATAGGAACACTGTCCGTATCTGTGGTGATTTTAGTGTCACTGTCAACCCGGTTTCAAAGTTGGACAGATACCCGATTCCAAAGGTCGAGGACCTTTTTGCGAGGCTAAGCACGGGAAAGCATTTTTCTAAATTAGACCTGAGTCAGGCGTACCAACAGGTGCCATTAGAGGACGACTCTAAGAAGTATGTTGTGATAAACACGCATCGGGGATTGTTTCGGTACACGAGATTGCCGTTCGGTATCTCGTCAGCCCCGGGTATTTTTCAGCGTGTGATAGAGAGCATCCTCCAGGGCATAGATGGTGTAGTTGTCTATCTTGATAACATCCTCATAACTGGTGCTTCCAAAGAGGCACATCTCAAGACTCTAGAGGAAGTTTTGAGCCGTCTAGACAGGGCTGGGCTAAGGGTAAAAAAGTCCAAGTGTGAGTTCATGAAGTCCTCTGTGACGTACCTAGGGCACAGAATAGATGCTGATGGTCTCCACCCGCTGGCGGACGGGGTCCGTGCAGTCAAAGAGGCCCCTACACCCAATTCAGTTCCTAAGCTAAAGTCTTACCTTGGCATGCTCACTTACTATAGTAAGTTCCTTCCTAACCTGTCAACACACTTACACCCATTGAACCAGTTGCTTAGAAAAGATGTTGACTGGAATTGGGAGTGCTGCTCAAACTAAGTCCTTTACTGCCTCAAAAGACCTCCTTACT